TCTTGTTGAAAACTGTAAGTCCGATTGCTTTGATATTACATATATAGGTACTACATGTGGACCTCTCTCAGATTTGTTCGTTTTGTGATGATATCTTCAATTCTCTAATTAATTTATTTTGGTGAATATTTTTGTAATTTTTGGTAAAAAGTGATATTTTCGACTTCTTGTTAAAAACGGTAAGTCCGATTGCTTTGATACTATTCATATTGTTCATTTTCTAATGATGTCTTCAGTTCTTTAATTGAAATGTGCCTTGCTAACAGCGGAGCTATCTCAGCCGATAGGCTGCTTGTCTTTTAATTATTGCTGTTCCAGACCAATATCTCTTAATATGGACAAGTACTTGTTTGATAATCAGATACAAGATGACTGAATGTCAATAATTTTAATGTTGAAAAATCATCATAATCAAGCATTAGCTATCCCTGACATGTTTATGTTCAAACTATATTACTATAAAAGAAAACTATATATCTTAAATTTGATAACTAACAGGGATTGTGCCATGCATGGCTTGTCTTAATACATTTTGGAGGCAGTACGTCAAGTTTTATTAAAAATGACAATTATAAGCATAGCAAACTATAAATCAATGTATCCCTAGACTTACTTGAGTGGGAAAACAGGGCGATACTTAAACCAGAAACTCTCCTGTCGATTTAAACAAGCTGTCACAAAGGCGAGTGGAAAATGAGCGATTGAAAAGCAGACGATAGCAGGCTTCAAGTGAAATGAGTACTGTATATCTGTATTTATCTGTTTTCAGAGTTGTTCGCACCATTGGTTACATGTTGTACATGATACATCTCAATACCTGTTGTTATTATGCGGTGTCAGTATGGGAAGGAATTGGATCTAATGGATGGGTATGGAATGGAGAAGGAAACAGGTACTGGAATAATGACAACAATGTGAAATGTTCATCATCTGTTCTGCTTTATTTGCCTGTAGATTAAACTGTTTCAAAGGAATTATGGGTACAAGTCCTAGGTTGTCATAGGGAATTATGGGTACAAGTCCTAGTTTGTCATAGGGAATTATGGGTACAAGTCCTAGGTTGTCATAGGGAATTATGGGTACAAGTCCTAGGTTGTCATAGGGAATTATGGGTACAAGTCTTAGGTTGTCATAGGGAATTATAGGTACAAGTCTTAGGTTGTCATAGGGAATTATGGGTACAAGTCCTAGGTTGTCATAGGGAATTATGGGTACAAGCCCTAGTTTGTCATAGGGAATTATGGGTACAAGCCCTAGGTTATCATAGGGAATTATGGGTACAAGTCCTAGTTTGTCATAGGGAATTATGGGTACAAGTCCTAGGTTGTCATAGGGAATTATGGGTACAAGCCCTAGTTTGTCATAGGGAATTATGGGTAAAAGTCCTAGGTTGTCATAGGGAATTATGGGTACAAGCCCTAGTTTGTCATATGGAATTATGAGTAAAAGTCCTAG